ATATATTTATATACATTATGTATAATTAGAATATAACTTTTTATATAATTATTTTTTAATTATATATTTTTACACAATTAAATGCAATTGGTACTATTATAAATTTTAAGTTTACATAAATAGAACGAGCGAACACTCTTGATACGATTTCATTATAATCTGGAAAAGTTATTTTGTATTTCAATTTAATTTTTTGAGCGATAAAAATAGATTCAAAAAGTGAAAATTTATATATTTTTTTTTTCTCTCAATTTGTACTTATTATATTATAAATGTAATCAATGTAGAACAACATTAGAACATTTATTTATTGACTTTAATATAATAATTGATTCATATTATTAAAAAAATCATCATTTGATTTTTGATTAGTTTCAAATAGAATTTATTATTTATCATTTACAATATAATTATAACAGTATTAACATTATTATTTATAAATAATATAATTATAAAATAAACATAATTCAGAATTTCATTTGATTTTAATTAAAATTGCGAATATGAATGAATTGTATTACAATATATTTTAATAGAATATTACTAATATTTTTAATAAAAAAAAATAATGAAAAGAAAAATATAATATTGTATTTTATTGAAAATATTTTATTGAAAAAATTTACTATTCAAAATTGTAAATTTTATAAAATTCAAAAAAACTCACCGCTCAAAAAATTAAATCGTATAAATAGAAATTATTTATACGATTTATTTATGCAGGATATTAATGCATCGAGCATATGATGTTTAATCATTATTGTATTTTAGATTGCACAGGTAAATTCTGTAATAAATGAAGACGCAATTGCTCGATTTTCATTTTTCGTCAGTTAACATTTTTCAAACTAGCGTGTATTCGAACATTAAGCCGACTTTCAAAATCGTAATCTCTATATTGATTTTGGGCTCTTAAAAGAAACATTTTTCCTTCTTCAGTATTCTAAAACATTGAACATGCATAAATTAAATTAGTATCAAATATACAAAGAAAATTAATTTTTTATAAATTTTTAATATTCAATAGCTTCTAATTCTTGAATTAAAATACGAAATATTTCAATTAATAAAAAAATATGTAAAATATTTAATTGTTTGTAAATCTTTTTCTATTGCTATTATTTTTCCATAATACAAGTTTATTTATTACCATTTAATAATTAATAATATTTATCTTAATTTTCATCAAATATAATGTTTATTAATTTTTTTTCTAATATTATGTTATTTATTGCATTTATTTTTAATATTTTTTGAAAGAAAAAATTATAATTTTAAAAACAATTAATTACAAAATTTTGTGTAATTTGTTTAACTATATATATCAATATTTATTTTACTTACATTAATACTGCAAAGTACAGTACCAAGTTCGTAAAGTGCAAATGCACTAACATGTTGATCATATGCATCATTAAGTGGATTACGACGTTTCAGACAATTTCTATAACTTTCAATCGATGCTTGGATATCACCAAGATAAGAATAAGCTGCTCCTTCGATTAAGTTAGCTAATCCAGCCATTGGTTCATCCGTATAATTATTTTTACATTCTGATATAAGAAAATATATTTAATAAAATATAATTTATATTTTATTTAGATTTAAATTTAAAGAAAGAATTTAAATTTTTTTATGAAAATGAATTTATTATTGATATAATTAAAAATTATATATCAATTAAAAAATTTTTTAGAAAATATGCAATTGATCAGAATTTGCAAAGGAAACAGTAAAAGATTTTATTTTTTAGATTTATATTATACATGTTGAAAATTTCATTGAAATCACTTAAAGACAATTATTAAATATCAATAATAATAAAATTTAAATTTAAAAATATAAAAAAAATTTTAAAGAATATTCAAATATTTTCTGCCAATATAGAAATAAAATATAAAAAAAATATTCATAAAACATAACGAAAATTTAATATTATAATTATATATATTTTGCATTTGGAGATTAAAATCAAGTTTTTTTGATTTGATTGAAAAGTTTAATTAAAATTAAATATTTTTAGGAGATTAATATTTATTACCTAAAAGTATTCCTTGTAACGAATCAATAGAACAGGACGGCATGGCATTCCATAAATATAATAATTCATAAACAAGCAATCTGTAGTACAAAATTGTATAAGGCTGTCCAGTCTCTTGATCTAGGAGTTTAGGTATTCGACGTAAAACGAATAAACCTAATTGTGTTTCTTTACTCATTCGATTGTCACAGTGAAGAATTTTTCGATAAGATGAGGCCACAATATCAAATTTACCAATCGCTCCACAACAAACTAAGAAAAAATATAAAGAATACAAAGAAATAGTTGAAATAAAAATTATATTATTAATAGAAGAAAAAAAATAAATATCTTACCGATTGTTAAATAAGCATAGAAGCTCACGGACCATCGAGACTGCTGTCGCAATTGTGTCAAAGATTTATAAGCTTTTTCATAACTTAAACGAATCAGATGACACCAAGCAACTTCGTGTAGGCATAATAATTTAATCTCTCTTTGACTTGAAGCTTCAACAGCTTTTGCATATGCTTGAAGAGCACCATTTACATTTGACTGTAATATAAATTAATTTGATATAAATTTAACTATAAACATAATTTTATAATTTTATTCTATAATTTTATAAACAATTTAATATATAAAATAACGTCAATCAGGGGATGTGAAGTATTAATGGAAAGCTTAATTAAAGGAATCTATTAGTAGATGTCTGAAATTTAAAAATTATAACATTTTTGTGGCGGTATGCGATTAATTCGCATAAAGAAAATATATTTTTAAAATTAGACTAGTAATTTGTAATTTGATGATGCCATATACTTATAATTTATATTTATTTATTATTAATTATTTTTTATTTATTATTAATATTAATTAATAAATATATTGGGAAAAAATAAAAATTATTCGAAATCATGATTATATTATCGATTTTTTGATTTGTTATTGGAAACGTAATTCTGAAACAAATTCAATTTCTTTTGTATATTATATTTACAATTAGATTTATTTCTAGATATAATTTTCATTGCTATGTTATATTGTAACATGATAAATTTATTGATAATGATGTCAAATATCAAATTCTGGGTACTATACTATAGTATAGTATCGCAAACAAAATTTTTGATCTAAATTTAGAGAATTTTTTTGAATTTGAAAATCATGATCATTTTTCAAGTGCTGAACGGTTTTTAAAATACCTTTGAATATTATTAATATAAAAACTATTGGAACAATTTATATAATTTTTAGTAAATCAAAAAAATTGTAAATTTTCAAAATTTAAATCAAAAATTTTGTTTGAGTAATACTATAGTAGTCCAAATTTTAAATTATGTATATAAAAAATACATTTAAATAATTATAAATACATTCTTACCTCAAGCCTCTCTATTCGACCAGCGAAAAAGAGAAAAAGAGCAGAATTATTAAACTCTGGATGGCATTCTGTTATTAATTGTTTGGCGTCATTTACACCGGCACGGAGATTACTTCCATCAAGAGCAAAAAATGGTCGTGCAATTGTATGATACCAAAGTAAAGATAAACTGAAACAAAAAAATAAAATAATAATATTGCAATATTAAACGATTAATTAATTTTTATAATGATAAAGTTAGTAAAAGATATGGTATTTTTATTATATTTTCGAAAATGAATTTTTATAAATTTCTCCACTTAATTATCTACTATATATTCGGATTTAAAGGAATTTAAATATAATAAGTAATATTTAGATATTTAGATATATTGATTGAAATTTATTTATAAGCAATTATTAAATAATGATGCAATGGAACTTGAGCTGTCTTATTCTAATTTCATATTAGTTTGTTTGACCTAAATCTCTTTTTTTATAACTTAATGTAACTTAATATAATAACAATTGATATTTTTATAGCAATTCTTATATATTATATATATATATTATATATATAATATATATAATATTATATATATTATAT